TCGTGGTTGCTGCTTGTAGTGCTGCTGACTATAGTGGTACTGCTGCTGCTCTTCTGCTGCTGCTGCTGCAGCAGCAGAACCTCTCTCTCCTCCCCCTCTGTGGCCTCCATCCTTGCTTCTTGATCTATACGTTTGCTGCTGCTGCTGCTGCAGCAGGGAGTCCTCGTCGCTGCTGCTGCTGCGGTGGCGGTAACGCTGCGGCCGCTGCTGCAGCAGCACTTGCTGCTGCTGTCTCGAGTGGTAGTCTGAATCTCTATCTGCTGCTGCTGCTGCTGCTGCTGAGCGGCCCCTCACGGAGCGGCCACTAAGCCTGTTGCTGCTGCTGCTGCTGCTGCTGCTGCTGCTGTCTCCTGCTGCACCCCTCCAGTACGGGCTGCGACTCCTGCTGCGGCTCCTGCTGCTCCTCCTGCTGCTGCGTCTGCTTCTGCTGCGGCTGCGGCTGCTGCTGCTGCTGCTGTAGTGAGCTCTATCGTATCGCCTTCTGCTGCTGTGTCTGCTGTCTTCATATCTCGATCCATCTGGGTATCCTTGCTGCTGCTGCTGCTGCTGCTCGTGCTGCAGCATATACGATTGCCGCTGCTGCTGCTGGTAGTGATGAGGGGCCTGCTGCTGCTGATAGTGCTGCTGCTGATACTGCTGCTGCTGCTGCTGCTGCTGCTGCCTGCTGTAGCCGCTGCTGCGGCTAGAGCAATGGACCGTTCTTGTTTGTCTGCTGTCTTGGTTTTGCTGCTCCCACCATGGTGCTTCTCCCTGTGCTTTGCTGCTGCTGCTGCTGCTGCTGCTGCTGCTGCTGCTGCTGCTGCTTCTGCTGCTGTTGTTGTTGCAGCCACGAGCAGGCCATAGAACCCCTGGACTTGCAGAAGCAGGCCCACAGTTTGCTGCTGCTGCTGCAGCAGCAGCAGCAACAGCATCGTATGGGCCGCTCCGCTGCCTCCTCCTCTCACCGTCACAGTTTCCCGCAGCACGCCAGTGCGAATCCATCTTGCTGCTGCTGCTGCTGCTGCTGTTGCTGCTGCAATAGGCAGTATGGATGCTGTTTATTTTGTTATTTATTTATTAAATAAATAATAAAAA